TTCGAGACAGGGTTTCTCTGTGGCTTTGGAGCGTGTCCTGGAAGTAGCTCTGTAGACCAGGCTGGTCTCGAACTCACAGGTGTTTTGTTTTCTTAAGACAAGGTTTCTCTGTACCTTTGGAGCCTGTATTGGAACTATCTCTTACAGACCTGGCGGGCCACAAACTTCCAGAGATGTACCTGCCTCTGCCTCCCAAATGCTGGCATTAGGGGCATGTGTCACCACTGCCTAGTTACTCTCTTTTTTTTTTTTTTCTTATTTTGTTTTAAAGACTTTTTCCTTTTCACTCCGAAGCTTACATATATTTTTAAACACACGGTAAATGGTTTTGTGGTTCTCTTGGTCTTCAAATTTATCTTTACTGTGTATCTCTCTTTTTCTGGACATATTTGTCTTTAATTTGCCAAGTGATATGGCTAGGATGAAAGTTTGGGCTTTGAACTGGATCGAGGCCATTACTAAGCTTTCTAAGATTCCAGCTTCCTGGAAGAGATCCCAGCACCAGTCATGTTTATTGCCACAACTCTAGGACATTTCAAGGTCTCTGCCTCCACTACAAAACATGTGGTCAGCTTTTCCTCAACACAATTTAAGTGTTTCCTGGCAGGACCTCTTAAAAGGGCTGCAAAGTTTTCAAGCTAAAGCTGAATCAACAGGCTTCTATTAAATGGCACACATTTGCCTCTAGCAAACAGAGCCCACCCGAGAAATTGCTGCTACCAAGAAGCCAAGCTTAACTCTATTCCCAAGCTCTCTCGGGTTTTCTATAGGTGCACTGTTGGGGGAAGTCACAAAATAGTCCCACACTAGTTAGGAATTCTGAATAATAAAAGGTTATTTATTTAGGGGACACTTACAGATTCACTGTCCTAGGTCACAGTCCTCTGCATAAATGGGAAACAGGTACAGAGTCTTGCAGCTGGAAGCAAGAGAATAAGTACAGGCTTTACAGCTGCATTTATAGTATAAGAGACCATGCCCATGTCTGCTAGTATCTTAAAGGCTGTTGGCTGAAGGAGTTCCCACAGCAGGAGTGTTTTGTATTGTTTTCTTTTCTTTTATGGTAAGGAGTATGGTTGCTGAAGCCCTGGATGTTGACTCCCCTCTCTCAGCCTTTCAATATAGTGGAGGCAAATTTACCACTAGCTCGGAAAACCATGTTCACACCTCAGCTCCAGCAAGCACTTGCTGCAAGCTTCTCACAAACCCCATAAATGTTCCACACTAGGACCTCCCAAAAGGGCCAGAGCCATTCCTGACACCAGCATGATCCAGGACACCATGTATTAAAGGAGAAGTGTCTCTGATAGCCACCAGCAAGCAGAGGCTCTCTGAAACATTGTGTCTACCAAGAAGCTACAGTTAACTCCTGCATTTGTGGGTCTAGAAGCCCTTTTTAAAGCTTTCTTAGGCTTTACGTAGATGTATGTGGACAAACTTTGGGCACCATTATGTAGCTACAAATATTCTCCATTCCTCTGGTCCTCCTGGACCAGTTTCTCTCCACCCAACAGGTCCCACTCAGTAACTCCTACAACTGCTTAAGAAATAACCACTCTGAGGCTTAATGTTATTATGTACTCCTTGGCCTATTTGCTCAGCCTTCTTATTAGTTTACTCTATATTTTAAACTAATCTATTTCTATTAATCTGTGTATCCCATGAAGGTGTGGTTTACTGGAAAAGTTTTGGCATCTTTCTCCTTCAGCAGCTTCATGGCATCTCCCTGATTCTGCCTTCTTTCCTCCTCTATCTCTGCTTGAATTTCCTGCCTTTCTATTCCTTATATCAGGCTTTTATTCTGGCTGTCACAGATTATTCTGAGGAGAGTGACTTAAGGCAGAAGCAGTTTATTTCATATCACAATTGAAGAGTCCAGTTCATAAAATTCAGAAGTGTGAAGCTGCTAATGAGTGACACACTAATAAATAGTAAATGAGACAGTGGGTCATCAAGTAATCAAGATGGCATCTCATGGTATTCTTCACTAAATCCTATTTGTATAATAATTCAGAGGTTTCTTAAGAAACACATGCAAGATGATTATGTATCCTGTCAGTCTGTCAGTGAAAATTAACCATGCTAATTAATATATGTACTCATAGGAGCCAGTAAAATTTGAGGATGTGGCAGTGAACTTCACCTCAGAAGAGTGGGCTGTGTTGGATTCTAGTCAGAAGAAGCTCTACAGAGATGTGATGAAGGAAACATTTTTGAACCTGATCTCCATAGGTAAAAAGTACTACATGCTCCCATTGCTTATTCGGTCGTTGAACAACTGTGTCCTTGATGTGGGGTTCCCCTTTGTGTGCTGTGATTACCATTACTAAGTAAAGAAACTGTCTTCGCCTATTGACCAGACAGAACTTAGGTAGGCGGTGAGGACTGGACTGCATACTGTGAGAAAGGAGGGCGGACTCAGGGGGAGTCCATAGATCTGCTGTTGGACATACATGTGCTAAAACTTTGTTGGTAGGCCATGACCTAATGGCGATATATATATAAGTAGAAATGGGTTAAATTAAGATGTAAGAATTAGCCAATCAGAATCTAGATCTAATTGGCTAAGTAGTGATTGAATTAATATAGTGTCTGTATGATAATTGTGGTTCTGGGGGATCTGGATGAATAAGCAGTTCACTGCATGCAACACATCATGCTTATGAATGTTATGTTGGTATTGAATTCTTAAATTAAAAATGCGCTTATTTAGTGTGCATATTATAAGAACTAGGTTGCAATAATTTTTTTTGCTTGCAATAATTTTTATGTTGAATATGAATATGTTTTCTCTGTATTTTGTTGTAGAAAAAGCACTAGAAGAAAATATTGAAGAGGACTATAAAAATCTCAGCAGGAATATGGGGTAATTTATATTCACTAGAAAATAAATCATATTATACATTTGGGACTCAGGGGACAACTGATAACATGCCTAGTGCTCCAAATATAACTAAGTGAAAAATGATCTTACACAAATTCTTCTAATGGAGCATTGAATTTTAATATTTAATATTTGAGTATTTCATGTGTGTGATCTATTATCGCCAATATGTCACGTGATAATGAGGCTGAAAAAAAAAGGTTTTCCCTGGATTATTACACAAAATATCCCATCATGTGCAAAGGGTTTTACTTTCTGTTCATACTTATGAGGCTTTGAAAATTAATACTGTGCTTTGTTTGCTTACTTTTGCTGTGACAAAAGAAGAATTCTGGGGTAGAGGACAGTTTTAAACTTCCTTGTCAGAATACCATCATATTGGGAAGCCAGGGCAGGAACTCAAGTATGACAGGAATCTGGAAACAGGCACTGAATCAGAATTGATGAGGAAATCCTGTTTACTGGAGTGATCTTCATCCCTTAATCAGCTACCTGCTCTCTAAGGGATACCACCCATAGTGAACTGCGCCACCCCACCTTATACAGTGATCAAGACAAAGCGGCCAGAGACATGTCTAAATGTCAATCTGATAAAGTAATTTTTTTGCTGTCTATTTTATTCCCAAACGGGGGTGCTAGTTTGTGTCAAAACTAATTAGCAGATACATTTCATATACAGAGCCTGAAATCCTGCCCATTGGCACACTACGCAACATGGTAAGCCCTCCTTTATTGGGAAAGTGAAATTGGTGTCACAGACTTGTTTCCAGGCCAATCTGATTGAGCCATTTATCAATTGGCAGACCTATCTTCCTATTACCATTTTTCCTTCCTTGTTCACTCATTTTGTACCTCTTAATTATTTTAAATATCTGTATCTGAGTTATGTTTCTGGAAGGCATAAAATGCAAGAAATTCTTCATATCAAGTGTATCAGATTTTGTGAACTCTTCACACAAATCCATGTCATTAAGTCTGCTTTGCTGAAAGATTGAGAATTGTTCTAAACCTCCAAGCCTATGATACAGCTCCTTTTAATTCTTACAGAAGTAACATTAGTCCTCTACTTCTTTACACATAGCAGGGTCTCACCATGAAATAGATCTTATATTGACATTGATACCATTATTTTATTCCCTCTGAGATTCTATAGTTGTGTTCCAGACACCCTAGCCTTCAATATTTCTTTGTCTAAAGTATTGCTTTTCTCATTTTTTTGCAGAATTCAGAGGATTGAGAAAGACCATGGAAGTGAATGTCATAATGAGTGTGATAAAAATCAGCCAGCTAGTCCAGAGAGTATGATCATTAAAGACACGCCTTGCAGAGTAAGAGTTCATGAGACTCCATTGCTTGTAACAAATATCATTGGTGATTTATCCTTACAAGGGTATCTCAGAGAAAAAGATAGAGGGAAACCACCACTGTATAAGGGAGCTGTGGCAAAAGCTTATAAACATCAGAATCATTGGAAAGTAATCAGTTGTTCTAAATCCCTTCAGGTACTTGAAACTTCTCCTGAAGAGAAACCCAGGAAAAAACAATATAAAGAAGCCTGTAGGAGTTTGTGTTTAGATGAGTCTCAGGAAAGAACTTATACTGGAAATAAACTCAATGAGGATACCTTCATGAGATACACACAGGGACAGAATGATGAACAAAACCATAAAGAAGTGGAACAATTTGTATGTAGTTTCTGTGAAGAATCCTTCATTGATTCCAGTGAGCTTTCCAACCAGGAAAAAAGTCATATTGAAGAGGAAAGGTACATTTGTAGGCAATGTGGCCGAACATTTAAATATAAAACATGTTTTGAGAAACAAAAAGTAAGTCACAAAGGAGAGAAGCCATATGCTTCTATACATTATGGAAAAGCCTTCACCCAATTCAATCATCATAACAGTCATGAAGGCAGTTACATTGAACAAAAGCATTATTCCTGCAAGCATTGTGGAAAAAACCTCACCAGTTCTTCGTATCGAAACATTCATGAAAGAATTCACACGGGAGAGAAACCTTATGCATGTAAGCATTGTGGAAAAGCCTTCAACAACCGCAATAGTCATAATATACATGAGAGGAGCCACACTGGAGAGAAACCTTATACATGTAAGCACTGTGGAAAAAACTTCACCAGTTCTTCTTATCGAAACCTTCATGAAAAAATTCACACTGGAGAGAAACCTTATGCATGTAAGCATTGTGGAAAAGCATACAGCACTTCCAGTGCTTGTCATTTTCATGAAAGAATGCACACGGCAGAGAGAATTCATACATGCAAGCATTGCGGAAAAGCTTTTTTCTGTCTCAAGCATCTGAAAAGGCATGAAATAATTCACACTGGAAAAACGCCTTATGCATGTAAGCATTGTGGAAAAGCCTTCAACCACTCCAGTAGTTGTAACAGACATGAGAGGAACCACACTGCAGAGAAACCTTATGCATGTAAGCATTGTGGAAAAAAGTTCGCTAGTTCTTTTTCTCGAAACATTCATGAAAATATTCACACTGGAGAGAAACCTTATGCATGTAAGCATTGTGGAAAAGCCTTCAACAGTCCCAATAGTCGTAAGAAACATGAAAGTAGACACACTGTAGAGAAACCTTATGCATGAGCATTGTGGAATAGCCTTCAACAATTCCATTAGGTGTAACAGACATTAAAGGATACATACCACAGAGAAACAGAAGACTTATACATGCAAACATTGTAGAAAAACTGTTTCTGGTATAGGCATCTGAACATTCATGAAATAATTCACACTGACAAAAGCCTTATTGTGTAAGCATTGTGGAAAATCATTCAACAACCCCAGTAGTTGTAATAGACGTGGAAGGAGTCACACTGCAGAAAACCGTTTTCATGTAGACATTGTAAAAACTCCTATACCAGCTTCAGTTCTTGTAAGACTAATGAAGAGTGTTCACATTAAAGGGAATTCATATACATTTAAGCAGTGTGAAAAAGTGTTTACCTGCTCCAATCACCTGAACATTCATGAAAAGATTCACACGGAGGAAAAGTCTTGAGCATGTAAACATACAAGAAAAGCCTTCCGTGACATCAGTCATCATAACATAGATGAATGAAGTCACACTTTAGAGAAGCTTTATTCATGTAAGTATTGTGCGAAACCCTTCACTACTTTCTATTCATGTAAGGTTCCTGAAAGAGATCATACTGAAGAGAAGTGCTATGCATGTACGCACTCTGGAAAAGCATTTACCCACTTCAGTCAGCTGAACATCCAGGAAAGGGTTCAATTTGCAGAGAAGGCTTTTTGCATGTAAACATTACAGGAAACCTTTTAACACTTCAATTTGTCCTGATTTGCATGGAAAACAATCAAACTGGAGAGGAACTCTTTGTGTGTAAAAGATGTGGAAACTGTTCATTCTGTAGACTTTAACAGGCATAAAAGAGTTCACTTGATAGTTCATTTATGCACATAAGAATTGTGGAAAAGCCTTCAGCTGCTCTTGTGATTATAACAGATCTGAAACTCTTCACACTAGTCAGTAGCCTAATGCCTGTAACCATTTTCAGAAAGCCTTTACTAGATTCACTTGGTCCAAGAGTAAAAACATTCACACTGGATAGAAACCTTTTGTATGTATACATGGTATAAAACTATTTGTTTGTTCTTGTGATTTTTAACAAGCATAAAGTTCTCACACAGTGTCTGTAATGTGGGAATGTCTTCAGCACATCCAGTTTCTGTAACCCTCATGCACAGTCTGAAGATAGATTTACATGTACATCCATGTGGAAATTTTTTTTAGCAATCACAGTTCCTACTATACTCAATTACTTTTTCACTTTTGAGAACCTGTATGTTTAGAATAAATGTGGGAAAATATTCAAAGTGTTTAAAATTAATAAAACTTAAAATTTTTATTTTTTTGGTAGTGTTTTCTGGAATTTCTGTGTTTTACATCCCTGCTGAAGTGCATAGTGATCTCACAGTGAAAAGAAGTAGTGTGTAGAACAAATACCAGTAATAACTCAGTAATGCTGCATTGGTAAAATCACTTCTATTGTGATTAATGGAAGAAGAATGTGCTAGGAACATGAGATGTATCAGCTAATCATGATTCGTCCCAGTAAGTGTGTTTGTTATCTGAATGGTCTCCCTGGATCTTATGTGGTGGAAATAATGTGTCAGTTCCAGAAGCTCTCTTCTAAGAATCATATGTACACTTTCTAATGAACACAGAGATAGAGAAAAAGGATGAGAGAGAGGAGTATGGAGTTTACTTTCTTTATGCCAAAAACATTGGGGAAAAAACTGCCCTTACCTCAATTGCTGGCAAAATACTGTCCAGACTGGATGAGGAGGATACAAATAAAAGCAACTGCCAAACTTTGCTGTGATATTACAGTCATTCAAAATGCCCTGCTTCACAAAAATTTCTGTCATAAATACTAGCCTATAGGCCAAAGGTGGATGCCCCATCATTACAGAAGAACTTTGAATGCCTGTTTTGGTAGCCTGATTTCCCTGTTTTTAGGCAGATTTTTACCCTTTAGGGATCTTAACTGAGTTAAAGTTTAATAATTAGAATTAATTTTTCTAATGATAAAAGTAAATTAAATATAAAACTTTATACTCCAAAAGATAGATAATTACATACATTCTCCAATTTTGTCAAATGCAAATGGAGTGAACATTGTAAATATAATTTTTACATAGTAACTTTTTGTTGTATATAGTCTTACTATGCTAACGTTAAAACCTTCCTTTTTATTAGACAAAAAAAGAGATGCTGTACACTGTGATGATTTTTCACTCAGATTGGGTTAGTAGAAACTTGATTGGCCAGTAGCCATGTAGGAAATATAGGCACAACAACCAAACTAAGGACTGTGGGAAGAAAGGTGGAGTCAGAGAGTCACCAGGAGATACAGAGGGAGTGAGACATGCTGAAGGAGAGGTAAAGCCACGTGCCATATGGCAATATATAAATTAATAGAAATGTGTTGGATCCTAATGGAGTCCTGCCCTACCTACTCACCTCCCTGTAGATTACCTTTCTTGCCCTTGTTCTTGGTTTCTGAGAAACTTGCAAGTTTCCTGCTCTCAGGGTTGCTTACCAACCCTGCTTCCTGAGTACACATTTTCTTGGCCTTAACCCAAGGATCTGGTGATGAGGTGTCCATCCTGTTGGCCTACCTGTCTGGGTTAGGCATAACTCTCCCCCCCCTTGGTGATGTACAATAAAGGCTTCTAGTTCTGCAACATCCAAAGTGTCTTTTCCATTAATCCTAACATCCTTCCCTAGGATTTCACACTAGCTGCACTGGTGTGGCAGAAATGTGTTGTAAGAGCTAGCTACTAATAAGCCTGAGCTATAAGCCAAGAATTTAAAATTTAAACGTGTCTGTGGTTATTTAGGATTTGGCTTATTGGAAACAAAAACTCTGTCTACATTATAATCATGATATATAGTGTGTATACACTTATAAATTTATACATAAGTAGGTATGTGTGTATATGTATGAAGTTATGCCATTTGCCAGGACAGTTTCTAAACCAAAGAACCCCACATTCATAAACAAACCACCAATATCAGGCAGAATAAATCTTCATTTGAGTTGCCCGTGATAGTTCCTTAATTCCCTCAGAAATTTAGGGTAATTTTTTTTCTTTTGGTCATCTCTCTGAGGCTGAAGGTGAGTCATATTAACTGAAACCATTGCACATTTTGAATCCAGGGTGAAACAGTTGAACTCGAGATAAAACTAAACCCACCTTTATTCAAAGTTTCATAGAAAGTTTCTCAGAGAAGCAGTCAAAATCCCTCTTCAATTCTTAACTCTTTTTGTGGTTTGATTAAGAATGGCCCCCAAGGCTCATGGTGGCACATAAATCTCTTTGATTGCAGGTCAAAGGCATTCAGTGTTTCCTCTAGACTTCAGAAAACACAATCTGTTAGCTCTGATCATGTACTGATACATTTTTATTGAAAACTTGATTCAAAGTCATATTACCTTGGAAGAAGGAGCTTTAATTTGGGAACTATATTGCACAGATGGGCCTGTGGCCCTGTTTGTGAAGGATATTTTTAATTGATCTTGGAGGGCCTAATCCAGAATGGTCAACACCATCACTACATAGGCGGATCTGGCTTATATACAAATATTAACTAATACTTCTATACTTCCTGCCCTGGCTTCCGTCAATGACCTGAAACAATAAGTTAAATGAATACTTCCTTGCACTCAGTTGCTTTTATTCATGATACTTATTACAGGAAGAAAAAGCAAAAAAAAATACATAGTAATTTATAGACGTATACTACATCACAGGATATTCAACAATATTGTCGGAGCATTTAAAATCATCAAATACCAGTGTAATTGAGAAAAACCAAAATGAGAGGTTTGGTATAAGAAGGAACATTTGTAAAGCCACTGTTCATTCTTTTTTTGCTTACAGTTTGAGGAGGGGGGATGTAGATTCAGAGACTTTCTAAATTTAGAGTGATTTAATCGATGGATAAATGTATCTGTTCCTCCTCAATCTTTTTAGATTTTTTTTATCATGTTACATACCATTTCCAGTGCCCACTTCCTTTTTCTACCATCAACCTCTGCCCATCCCATCACCCATTTACTCCTCAGAAAGTGTGTAAGCCTCCCTTTGGGAGAAAACAATGTCTGATATACCAATTTGAGACAGGACAAAAACCTACCCACTATATAAGTCTGAGCAAGTTGTTACACTATAGGGAATGGGCTACAAAAGGCGCACTCATGTACCCAGGGTAAGTCCTGGTTCCATTGCCATGGGTTCCCCAAACAGAACAAGACACAACTGTCACACACATTCAGAAGACTTAGTTTGGTCCCATGTAGAATCCCTGTCAATCTTGGGTAACTGAGTTATGACTAATTGGGTCACTTGTCTTTGTGCTTTTCTCAGTGATGATCTTGTTGCCTCTTGCTCAGATGATCCTTCCTCCTTCTCTTCAACTAATTTCCAGGAGCTCAGCCCAGTGCTCTGCTCTGGGTCTGTGCTTTTGCTTCCATCGTTAGTGGATGCAGGTTCAATGATGACAATTATGGTAGTCACCAATTGGATTATTGGAGAAATTCAGTTCAAGTACCCTCTCCACTAGTTCTAGGAGTCTTAGCTGGGGTCATTTTTTGTGAATTCCTGGCAATTTCCCTAACACCTGGTAGAGAGAGAACATGCAAATTAAGATCAGAAAGGAAAAGGGACATAACTACAGATGCATAAGAAATCCAGAGAATCATTAGATCTTACAATAAAAGCCTGTATGCCACAAAAATGGAAAATGTGAAAGAAATGGACACTTTTTTAGATAAGTACCATATACCAAAATTAAATCAAGACCAGGTGAACAGTTTAAATAGACCTGTAAGTCGCAAGGAATTGGAAGCTGTCACCAGAAACCTACCTACCAAAAAAAGCCCTGGTCCAGATGGTTTCAATGAAGAATTATACCAGAACTTCCACGAAGAGCTAATAATTATACTCCTTAATGTGTTTCACAGACTAAAAACAGAAGAGTCATCCAGAGATGAATATGGTATGTACTCACTCGTTAGTAGATTCTAGCCATAAATAAAGGACATTGAGCCTATAATCCATGATCCTAGAGAAGCTAAATAAGAAGGTGAACCCAAAGAAAAACCCAAAGAAAAACATATAGTTATCCTCCTGGATATTGGAAGGAGACAGGATTGCCAGGCAAAAATTGGAAACTTGGGGGTGGGGGTAGGGTGGGGGAAGGGGACTTGGGGAGAAAAAATTGAGAATGGGGGAATGGGATGGTTGGGATGGAGGAAGGGCGGATATGGAGCAGGAACGTATATATCTTAATTAAGGTAGCTATTTTAGGGTTGGCAAGAGACTTGACTCTAGAGGTGTCCCCAGGTGTTCATAGAGATGTCCCCAGCTAGATCCTTAGGCAGCTGAGGAGAGGCCGCCTGAAATGGCCCTATTCTATAGCCATACTGATGAATATCTTGCATATCACCATAGAACCTTCATCTGGTGATG